GTTGATTCATGATGCAGTGAGCCAATATAAAAAAAAATTATTGTGTGTATCTAACTCTCTTAAAGTAGTTGTATAGGACGTATCGTAAGCCCGTATGGTACCACACCCTGTATATATCTGCAACGAAGTAATCTAGTTTGAAGGAACATGTATTATACAATAACACTGAGATTTTCATCCCATGTCTCAAGGTAAATGGTCCTCACCTCACCCTTCCACCTGAGCTGAGGAAGACAGTGATGTCTTAATCTAATCGGGAAAAAAATATTTTTAGCTCGAAATGGGCAGAGCTTTTGGTCCATAGCGGTGGCTGGTTGAATACAAATCCCGAGCGAAGAATCGAACCCGAAGCTTCTTGGTGTTGTGTTTACAATAACCACTGAGCCAATGATGCGATCTATTCATTCTAGAGCGCAACTTAGCTTCCACGATTACAAAATATTCCAGCTTTTTATCTACCCTCCACAATCCGTATGCTTTGCCCGTCTAGAGTTTACTGTTCCCAAAATACTTTGAATAAATAAATAAATAAATATTCGTAAAACATATATTTGACCCAAAGTTACAATTATTTGTACTGTGGAACGTATAGGGCTGAAATAAAAACATACACAAAACAAAACCTTTGACATAAATACACATAGACACACTTATAACTTGAGCATGAAGTAAGTCACTAAAGTCAAAACTACCGACACAAGACTTTGAAGCGGTCATGGCCTAATGAGTAAGAAGTCAGGTGAAGGTACTCTAATTAAATAAGCTTCGCCGCTGCAGTATAAAGCATTTTTAAAGTTGCTACGGAGATCTGTGAGGCACGGCTCTTGCTAGGGTTCGTGTTAGCAACAACATCAGGTTTGAGCCCCGTTTTTTTTATTGCCCTTGCAGGCAGACCCACCTACCCACCTGATTGTGAGTGGTTACCGTTGCCCATGGACTTCAGCAATGCCAGAGGCAAAGCCAAGCCGCTGCCTACCGTGAGCTCACGGTGGGCAGCGGCTTGGCTTCGGTGAATCTAAAATAACCCCTCGAGGTTACTAGAGTAGGCAGGGAAAAAAAAGAAAAAAGCAACTGAGAACTTATTTCATATTCGATGCAGGAAGAAAGAAAGAAAAATCACTTTACTTTTATTTGACCGTCGAGGGAGACTTTGCGGACTTATTTAAACTTAATTTACTGTAATTTTGTTCACTTATTAATAATTTAATTCAATATTGTTTAATCTATCCCACACTTTATAGCAGGACGCATAAAACCCGCGCTGCAGAAATACGCATTCTGCATATTGGTAGTTATTATTATTAGTTAAGCATATGAACGAGCTCGCGGCCCACTTAGTGCTAAGTTGTTATCGTAGTCCATAGACATTATCAACGTTAATGTCGCCACACGCCTTAAGCTCTAAATTTTAGTTCTATAGTACCTACAATGGTTGCTGTTTCGTGATAGAACTTCCAAACCACAGTTATAATACAATAGAAATTACAACGAGAATGACTAAGTAATGCTTTAACTAATGAAAAATAAACAAACTTTTAATAACGGATATTCGAATAATTCTCTTAAAGACGTATTTGATTGGAATTAGAGATTATAGGATTCAATAAGGAAAAATCTTCCTTTAATTATTAGAACGAAAATACAAAATCAATTTTCAGTAGGTACGTGTTAATATTTGTAAAGGCTAATTCGAATTGACTGAAAATAAACTTACAAAACGTTACGCGCGAATACGTCGACGGGTAGACGAATCGATGTGATTTACGTAGAATAAACTATTTCAATGGCACCGTATTGTGGAGCCAAATAAATTTAAATAAACGTAAACATTCCATTAAGTTTATTGATATGAAGTAATTAAAAAGTTGTAAACGTTTATTCAGTCTTTTGGCTCGGGAAAACGAATAAACGATTTTAAATTCGTTCGCCGATACAATTAATGTTACTGTTGTTTCGTAATGTAGTCCGATAATAACGTACAGAGGCACGCGAAATTATACAAATATAGGCTTTATGTTCCATACTTTTTTTTTTATTGCTTAGTGGGTGGACGAGCTCACAGCCCACCTGGTGTTAAGTGGTTATTGGAGCCCATAGACATTTACAACGCAAATGCGCCACCCACCTTGAGATATAAGTTCTAAGGTCTCAGTATAGTTACAAATACAAATTAAGAATATTATTAGTTATACTTAAAAATATACTTAGCACAATATTGATTTGTTAGGGAATAATAGCACAGGCGTCCGTCACCATTAAATCTGAGAATTAAATCCCTAACTATACGCTGGTAGCTTAAGGGGCTATTTCAGCTACGTCCGGACGGGTAGGCTGAACCTGAAAGAATTTGTTAACAACTAGCCCCAGCAAGAGCAGTGCTTCGCAGAATCGACCACCGGATTAGAATCGCGACTCACTGAGAATATCCGGCGAGAAAGTCATTGGGCTGTGTCTATCGGACTGAAAATTATTCTAAACAACGGATATAGTAAAATTAAAATAATTAACATGATATTAAAACCGTGAAAGTAGTTGTGTAGTTGTCTTGTTGTAATTATGTCTGCGACTTGCGGCAACCGTTATAAACAGTATCTATACTTATAAGTAATATTGTTACTAGATATTTATAACAAAAATACCAGATGATAAATGAATGAAATATTATATTTGTAAAGTTACACAGAAATAATCTATTAGCAGTGACATACATACATACACATGTTGAATCTTATACGACCTTTTCGTTCCAATAATACACTTTGAAAGGAATATCTATAACCCAACGAATTTCAGATTTTTATATTTAAAACCGGATAATTAATGCATTAACCACGTTTTTAAATCGTAAAACATTTTCATATCGGCTTGTACGACAAGAACAAGGCTAGGTTTTAAATTGGTCAGAACAATCCAATGCATTACATGTTGATAGGTTGCTGTGGATGCCACTATCTACCTCAAGTCTCAGTTTTCTGGTGGTAGGGGTTCTTGTGAGTTCGCCCGGATAGATACCACCACCCTGCCTATTTCTGCCGTAAAGCAGTAATGCGTTTCGGTTTGAGGATTCGGGCAGCCGTTGTACCGTACTGAGACCTCAAATCTCAAGATGAGTGGCGGCACTTACGTTGTTGATGTGTATGGGCTCCAGTAACCACTAACAGCAGGTGGTCTGTGAGCTCGTCTATCCATCTATGCAATAAATAAAAAAATAATAATATAGAAGTACTAAAATTGTTCTATCATTTATAATAGGCTTACCGCATGCGTGTTTCTCGGCAAAAGAAGTTTGAATGAATGACTATTCTGGCTTACAAAACTCCCTAGCACCGTAAACTTTGATATTTTTTATACGATCTTTCATTGTCATGAAATTCATTCATCATCAAATCATTCGATGAGTATTTAGGATAGAAATTTCATCAGTGGTATCAAAGCTCCGTCGCAATATTATGGTCTTATCGCTTGACACAAGTACACTGGGCGTTAGTGTATTTTCAAAAATTTAAAAGCCGAACACAAGTCAACTTCGCGGCAGAAACTGGCGCATTGACTTATTTGCGGGCTCGTAGCCTAACCGACTACCACCAAGACAATACACATTATAAAACAGCATACAAAAATGCAGATATTATTAACCACCAGTAAATCGCCCCTTGCGTGTAGGTGCTGCGATAGACATCGCAAGACATGTAATTTGTTAGGATAGTAATCAACCCACCAAAAAGGAATTGCTAATCTTTTGATAATGAACGTTAGATACTGATTTTGAGGTTCGATTATCACGATTAAGAGGTTCGAGGTGTTGTTGTCTATGTTTAAGACATTCAACATATCACTGGTACTAAAATCTGGATCGATTGTTAAAAAAAAGTAAAAAAGTAATGCTCTTGGAACTTTAGGGAGCACATTTGGATATCTTACTCTGTCGTACTTTATCTGCCTATGAGTAGGGTAACTTAGTCTTTATTCCAATGTAATAGAAACTCCGAGCTGCGTTATAAGATGGGAAACGTGAGTGTCATGACGCGTGTCTAAATTCCCGTCTACATTAGAAAAGTGTAATGCGTGATTGCGGGCACTTTTCAGCTAATCAACATCTTTCCATGTAAGCCGCTTTAGTTTGATGTGCACTATATTCTAAAAGTTTTCAATCCTATAACACGAAAATGTGTATAAAATTCCTTTGCATATTATAAGGCTAGTCATAAATTAACGTAGAAGATGATAAGGCCCTCAACTGTCATGCTTCGTGTATGATACATGACGTGCGTCCGTCCGTGTAGACTAGGACTAACTGCGGTGGTGTACTTTCTGACGGCTATACATTTTAATTTGTACAGTTTTATATTCTTTTAATATTCCGCATTATCATGACAGCGAAGACAGGTCTTCGATTCAAAACGATAGTTAATTTTCAAACATTGAGCCGTAATGTATGGCAGTATATTAAGCAGTTGTACATGACAATAGATTGACGCAAGATTGACTCGGTAGGCAGCGGCTTCGGTAGGCAGCGGCTTGGCTCAGCCCCTAGCATTGCTGAAGTCCATGGGCGACGGTAACCACTCACCATCAGGCGGGCCGTATGCTCGTCTGCCTACAAGGGGAATAAAATTTTTTTTTTGGTAAATTTGTAAAAAATGCACCTTGTGAAGGCGTTGTAAGTTTTTGTAGAAAGAGAAGTGACCGTTCCATTGGAATGTTAGGAATGATGTTGCACGACATTTAGCGAAACGATCACCGTCCATGATCATCAATCGGTCCATTGAAATCGCATAGGTGTCGGTACGGTGCACCCTAATTACGCTAATAGAGCGAGTGGCAGCGGGAGCGAGAGCGGGCGCGCACACGTGGCCCCGGCCCGAGACTCAGGTGCGCCCCGCCCCGCCGCGCCCCGCCCGCTCTCGCTCACGCCGACAGCCGAGCCGCTCACCTCGTCGTCAGACGCGCGCTGCACTCGACGCCCGAACGCCGGGAAAACACGAGCCGTTTTCCGCCGCGACAACGTACAACCGAAGTTTTCGTTTCGAATTTCGAAAGTTCAATTTTTTTTTTTTTAATAATAACGGCCCGCCGCATTCGAATTTTGCGCGTTGGCGTTTTCGAAAATTTAAGTTTCCTGTGAATTTTTTTGTGTTTTTGCAAAACTTATTTGTGGGATGTTTGTGATTTCGGACGAAATCGAGTGAAATTTGCGAAAGTTCTCACAGCTGCACGTTCAATTTGTACTACAATCTGGAGTGAGTATTAAATTACTGAAATGAATAACTATAGAATGTATAGCTGGAAGGTGAAGCGAATCTAATATGAGTATACAAAATTACGGTTAATTGATAGTTATTATTTCTGTAAAGGCGCGATGTCGTAAAATCAAAGCGTATCGCAGTAAATCTCTGCGGACGCAGTGGATTTCAAACGTCCACTTGACACGGGACATTAAAAGGCATATTATGCAGGGAGCTTTTCGCATTAAGTCATTAAAATAGAATTAGAACTCTATTTATATTTACTCGAATGTAAAAGTTCACTTGCACTACGATTGAAGAGTTACAATTTTTCAAAACTTCGGCAAAGTTGTAATATAGTTTGTGTTAGCTTGAGAAACAGCAGGCACTTTTTTAGATTTCAACAATTTTACGACGTATTTTGTCCTTAATACCAAATTTGCTGTTGACAATTTATTGTCGAAAATTACGTCATTATATAAGTACCATACGTAACGGAAAAAATATTTATATTTCATTTAAGAATGATATGATAAGGTGAAATGTTAATATATTTGCAAAATTGTATTAAACAACAAAAGCCGTTATGTAGTTACATGAATTCCAAGATATGTCTGTCTACATTTATCCCATAGTTGAGTGCTAAAAATTGATGCGCTTGACAAAGTTTGAGCGATCTATTACTCGGGCATAGCGATACACTGAAAAAATATTCACACTTCAACTAACGGAATTGTAGCTGATCATTTCAAAGATCCCATCAAAGGACACCGGGAATGAATACGTTAAAAAGTAAAAAAAAAAAACGAAAAGAAAAAAGAAAAGATGAAGCAATGAAATCGTTCGGCCCATTTAACTTGGACCGGACGGGTGTGACAAAAATTCTGTAACTGAAATAAACTGAACACATGTGTTTAGATGTCACTCCGCGGAGGACGAACAATAAAACATTTATTTCTCGATTTGGTGTTCATTTGAAATAAAACACCATCCTTACTAGAACAAGACATTTCAATGAGCACAAACTTTGCGTTCGAAATGTTTTTACATTACCAAAGTTATGATATGTACCTAAAGTCTGACTTAAAGACGTGCCCCGCGGCTTAACCTCACTCCAAACCAAAATTTTTACTTCACGAAGAATAAGAGAAGTTGCATTTTCTTTACACAAAGAGTCGTGACGTTACCTGGTCATTCATCAGTCAGCGCCGGAATTCACATTATGGGGTAAATGGAGTCCAATAGCTTCACTACTTGGAAAAATCTCAGCTTATACACAAAATCTACACTATATAAATTATTTAGTATTTTAGGTAGGCTATCTCACTTTATTGGCTTTATTGAAATAATTGAATGATATATTTAAATTTAAACGCTTAGCTGATCTAAAGTCTACATACCCATATATGTTCTGTTGTTTCATTATGTTTGTCACTTCGCTTTGAGGAAGGAAATAAGCATCTGTAATAATTTACATGCAATCTATTTTATATATAATAGGTATATTTTAGAAAGGTTTTGAATTTTTTTATTCCATCTCCTTCAGTTATGTAAAAACATTTGTTTCACAATTCGTCTCATATATAGATTTTTTTTAAATAATCATGCACCAATGTATTGCTAATCGTTTTTTTTGTTAGCAAAGTTATATAATTGACCGAATCAAAGAGATATTTAAAACACTAAAAGTTATCTTCGACTAAACATCGTGCTTTAGAAGCTTGTTCAAAATCAAAAAGGCTTTTTAAAGCCGTAGCCGTTAACTCAGTCGTAAGGTCAAAGCGCGTGTGGCTTCGCGACAGAACTTGCAGGAAAATGCCATAAATAAGTTCATTGATAATGTACCTTATCATCAATACACAAGATTGCTTAGAGAGAGGAGCTGAACTAGCCGGATAGCGCAGTGAGGCTAAGTGGGTCCGAGCAGACTAGAATTTATCCCCAATTTTTATACGATACCGTAAAAAACTATCCCGTAATGTAGTCTATACATATAAATGCTTTTTACTACATGCATATGAATATATATACACCAAAATAACATTTGTTACAATTTTTGTCTGTCTGTCTGTTTCGGCTAATCTCTGGAACGGCTGGACCGATTTTGACGGGACTTTCACTGATAGGTAGCTGATGATATAAGGAGTAACTTACTACTTTTTTTAGACTAACTTCGCCCCGCGGCTTCACCCGCGGTACGACAATAACCGTGGGTAACATCGCGGGACTCGGCTATCAATAATAAAATGTAATGTTTCCGAAGCGAAGCGAGGGCGGGACGCTAGTTCAAAATAAAAGCACTAATCCGAAGACAAGTAACTCGATCAGCCAGATCCTGTCTGTAATATAAGTGATTTATAGTTTCAGAGGCTCGCTCTTTAATCTATGAATATTCAAAATAAATCAAACTTCAATATGAGTTTTTAGTTTTTATGCAAATAAAACCTACTACGATTTAGTTTTAGACTCAAATTAGCTTATCGAATTAGATCATAAACATAATTTAGCTTTTTTTTTGTCATTCATAATATACGTATGCGCTCTGGGTTTTTTATAATTACCTACACATTTTTAAACCGGATGCGAACGTACTTGATGTATGAAATTAGTTTTTGGATCGGATAAGACATTTAGAATTATAATAAGTGTGGTTAGTACATAAAATACGAAAACACTAGGCTTGCACCGCGGATTCACAGGCGTTTCGTAAATTAACAAAATCAGTTAATCTGTATTGAAATTATTTATTTGTTTATTGCTAATCAATCACGCAAAAATAGCTGAGCGGATGTGGCGGAGACTGGAAAAATATAGTTTATAAATTGAATTAAAACATGTTATACATTATCGTGGTGAATTAGATGTCCCGGGTAACGCTGATTTTATTTGCTATAATAAATACAACAGTGCACTATGTATTACATAGACCAAATAGTAACACAAGCTAATCTCTGTTATGGAAAAAGCCAATGTATTTCGTTAGATTTTAAAACACAAATTTGATAGCGCGCTCTTTTTGTGTATGTATTCGTATACTTTATTTTTGGGAGCATATAAGAATAAAAAATGCTGATTATAAATTAAAGTGCTTAATTAATTTGATATGGTTACGAAAATGTCGTTTCGTAATTTTTAAGATAAACAGATAGAAAGATAATTTAATAAATACCACAAAAATAACATTCACAGTCTAGTCTTGACTCAATAAAAACTGCTGATAAAAACTAATTTCAATATTCCGTAAAAATATTCCGATTGACGTAAAATATATCAGGATTTGAGAATATGCATTAAATAAGCTAATTTCGCAAAATAAACATTCAAATCGTTCGACATTTAACGTTCCAAAGTAAAAATTCTCACATATATCATTCGTGAGGCGGTCGCACAAATAAATCGAGTGCACAATGACTGCTAATTTGCTCATGAAGACGTATGCACTGTGCTCGGTTCATAAATCCGACCAAGTCTCATTCGGCCTACCGCTTACACACATAAACCTCGGCGGACACTTTTATAGCCGAACCACGTGGCGGAGTCGGAATTTTTTCCGCACTTGACATGACATGTGTACAACGCTTTAGGAAGTCACCGTCGCTTTATTAATTTATTGTTTTAGAATAGACCCCCTGTGTGACGCAAGTGTTGCATTTTGTGATTTATGCTTCTTTTTTTTTTCTTTTGAGCGCGGTCAATGCATCTTGAAACAATAAAGTTTAATTCGTAAAATAAAGCTACTTTAAGCATTATGTATATGAATTTTAATGATTAGATGAATAAATAAGGTATAATGTTTACCTACGCGTATAGTTTTCATTAAAAGTCGTTATGTTAAAATCAAACCCAAATTCTTGAACAAAATGAATGACTTAACAAAGCGATAAATATACAGCGCAAGTTCAAATTATCATAATGTGAATGCACGGAATATGTTATAAATCACATGTTTGAAACTGATAAAATACAATAAAACAATTTGCCTGACCATAAATTCGTTTTTGTTTCAATTTAATTTGGACGAATTTTTCAATAAAACCCGTGTGATTCGTTCGTGTTTTCAAAAAATTTCTTTTAGTAAAACCTACAAAGCGTTTATCACATATAAAAAGACTACACACGTGACCAACTAATGTATCTCGTTCTGTTGCAGGTCCATCAATCAAGTTCCACTCAGCGGGGACAATTGAAACGACCTATGAACATCAGTAGCACTTAATATGTCCAACTAGACCATTCAGTGTCCCTGAACGATGACAAGTGTCGAGTGATCTTCAGAGGGAAAGAAACGATATACTGTTACCGATGAACGACTTAAATTACAACGCCGGGATGAGCTCCTACCAGTTCGTCAACTCCCTGGCTTCGTGTTACGGGAACCAGGCTCCGGGTCGTACCGGGACACCCGTAGAACAAACAGGCCACCCCGGCTTGCCTACGCCGGGAGCGGACTATTACAATCCTAATGCGGCGGCATCAGCATATCCGAACGCATGCTACTCGCCACCGCAAGTCGGGCATCATTACCCGCAACATCCGTACGCGACGCCCGCATCGGGAGCCCATATGCAACCGCAGACGATGATAGATTATACTCAGCTACATCCACAAAGACTCGGGAGTACGGCTAGTCACATGCATCAACATTCTAATCCGAGTCCTGGGGCGTTGTCCCCAAATTTGATGTCCACCCCGCCCAGCCAAGCTACGGGAGCCAGTTGTAAATTTGCTGATTCTACATCGACCACAGGAGTGGCGTCGCCTCAAGATCTTTCTACTTCATCTGGGCCGGGAAGAACTTCACCAGGCTTCGGTAATGTTGGTGGTCCGAACCCTAGTGGAACCAACAGCACCAAATTAGGTCTTACCACTCCAATAGCGTCTCCCGTTGAGCACAAGGCTAATGTGAACCAAAATATTTCAAGCCCGGCCTCTAGCACGTCGAGCAACGAAAGCAACGATGCAAATAACTCCAGCTCAAACAACACCAAGAATTCCAAGTCTTCGGCTAACTCGCAAGCTAATCCTCCACAAATATATCCATGGATGAAGCGCGTGCATCTTGGACAAAGTAAGTGAAATTCAATTAATTTTACTTGTAGCTCCTGGATAACGATTTTCGTTCCGGTTTTTATAATTTCCTGATTATCAAAACAATCAATACAACAAACAGCTTGCTTCTCACTTTTTTATTGTGCCCGTGAAATCATAAACGACTTGGCTTCCTTTACAAAATTAATAGCGGTAACGGCGACCACGCCTCTATCAAAAACTCACGGTTTGATGTAACAGATAAAACAATCTATCAATTGGATACCGAGGTGGAGACAAAACAAATTATATATCTATTTATAAACATTAGCATGCATTAATGTTAGATCGATATGGTTGGCTGATGGATTGCGTTCATAATGAGACATAATGGCTTTGTTAACGGGCCCGTACGGCTGAGCATACGAAGCCTTTTTTCTTCTGGCGTCCTAACGATGGGAAAAGTGCTTCATCACAATGACGCGTGATTCGACTGGCACCCGCTATTTTGTGCTAACTGAATTAGGTTATTAGAATTTTAATCGCATTCAAATAAGATTTAGTCTACAAGGATATTGTGTTTTAAGTTTTTCTGACACATTGTTAAATCATACGAGGTTTATTATTATTTAGAGAACGAAATAAAATGTAGTAAACGCTTCTGACGGGGTTGTAGCATGTCACTGTCGTGATGTGAACGTGAGAGATGTCGGCTTGTCGTGAAGTTCTCAGAAATAACATTGACTTTCCATTGTTTCCACTTATACACAAAAATTCACGACGGCCTTGTCATCGTGAAACACTAAAGCTTAATCACAGCGTATTTTTCATTTTGATGAATCATTCTTTTTCCTTTATTCAATCTAAGCCGAAAGAGAATTAGCGTAAGTTTTCTCTATTTAAATAGTTTAACCAACTTTCTTCAGAAAAAGATTTTTCAAACGAGGCTTGTGTGTTGCTATCATGTACCTCATTCTCAAGCTCTGTATCCTTAACTGACTTAACTTAAAAATAAGAAGTATCTTCATATAAATTAAGGGACTTGTGTGTAAGGTGTGTAATAGGTACAGCAACCGAGAATAAAAAAGGAAAGAGTGTTTACTAGTAGGTACCAATGATTCGCTAATAAACGTCATATTCCAACACTTTTAATATTAATTTAATTACCGTTAAGTTTCTTAAAATAACTGTGCCATAGCAGTATCAATCGTGCCTCCAGCGTCGCAAACAACTGGTTCGAAACTGGGCAATATATTTTCACCAATATACTTTCAGTTATCTGAAAGTGTTATTACTCAATTGCTAGCGTAGCTACAGCTCACAGTGCAACTGACATTAAGTTGTAATTGGAATACATAGAGAATCAAAAATGTTTGAAGAGGATAAAAATCGAGACCTGAATTTTTTACTGGTGGTAGGACCTATTGTGAGTCCGCGCGGGTAGGTACCACCGCCTTGCCTATTTCTGCCATGAAGCAGTATGCGTTTCGGTTTGAAGGGTAGGGCAGCCGTTGTAACTATACTGAGATCTTAGAACTTATATCTCAAGGTGGGTGGCGCATTTGCGTTGTAGATGTCTATGGGCTCCAGTAACCACTTAACACCAGGTGGGCTGTAAGCTCGACCAACCATCTAAGCAATAAATAAAAAAAACCTAACGAGGTCTCGTAACAGGGCAGAAATAGACAGCGCCATTGTAAAAGCTACCTTAAGTTATAGTTTAGAAGTTAGACAGGAAAAATAAGGTAAGTGTACTGTTATAAGTTGGATAGAAGAAAATACATAACACAATTTAATTCCTAGAAATTTAGGGGTGCCAGGGTCGCATAAGCAGCGGCTTGACTCTGCCCCTGGTATTGCTGACGTCCATGAGCGACGGTAACCACCCACCATCATTAACAACAAAACAAAACTGTCCCTTTCATACTCATAAGCTAGACCGCGCGAGAGAGAGATGAGCAGACTTTTCATGATGCGCATGCAGTGCGACGTCACGCCGCGCGCTTATTCACAAACACTACGCAAGCGCAACGGGTGAATGTGTTGAACGCAAGCTAGATGGTAGGCGAAGTGGGGGGTGTTAGGTTTTATTTTCGTTACGGAATTTGTTGATTCGGTCGCCGCGCTCAAAGCCGCAATGAAAGCTATGCAATAGCTTAAAAATAAAAAAAACATACACGTATTTCATGGCATAATTACCTACGCGTATCTGTGTATGTTTACTATTGCTCACGGTTGTGATCGTGTTGCAATAGTGTTAACAACAAAAAAATGCTAAAAATGCATCATTCATTTGATATTCACTCCACCAGCTAATAAAAGTGGATCTTTTTACAGCGTAACGTAAAATTAAAATATTGTTACAATGCATATGTCACACGACGCTGACATATGTGATTTCTCAAAATGTATTGGTTATTTTCTTCTAACTGAAATTCTTTGTGTCGTTTTTTTAATGGTCCACGGTGAATTATTTTTTGAAATTCATTTATTCTTCAACATCATCTGATAATCTGTGTGCAAGTTTTTAAAGAACTTAAATTATTTCGAAAGGTATTTGAAGAAAAAATCTTCAATTAACTATGGTGGTTAATGTACTTACTCTGGTCTTATAGGTGGTTATTAAAAATATTACGGATTATGTTTCAATCAATGATCATTCTTTATCACAGCGGGTACCCTGTGAGCCCACTCCACAATTTTTATATAGCCGTATTGTAAGTCCGAACGGATTGGTTCTTCCACCAGTTTGAAGCAATTACATAGGTGATCCGAATTCAAAGATTCGTTGGCTAGGTGGTCGGCCTAATAACTTAAGGTGACTAAGTTAAGTTGAACATTTACGTTGTAATTACGCGGTAGCTTAAACTTAACACTAGGTGGACCATCTCCGTTTCTCAACGGGCTGCGATTTCGATCCGGTAGTAGATTCATTCGCGAAGCAGCTACTTTTGAGTTGTTAGGTCTCCTTTGGAAGCGCTCGGGTAGCTGTTAGCAAATCCCACCCTTCCTCGATGGGCCCTTGCTCGCACACCTGCCCTAGTAAAACTGAAAAGGCCTCCGGGCCACCAGTAATCTTTCAAACATAAAAAAAAATCATCTACGCTTAGAGCAAAATCAATCTATCTATCTATATAGGTATATATAAAAATGAATTGCTGTTCGTTAGTCTCGCTAAAACTCGAGGACGGCTGGACCGATTTGGCTAATTTTGGTCTTGAATTCTTTGTGGAAGTCCAGCGAAGGTTTAAAAGGTAGATAAATATGAAAGTGCTCGGAATTAAATAAAAATAACAATTTTGTTTTCCCTTTGTTGTGTCCCCCGTCGGACAGATTCCTTTTGTTTGTTTTAAGTTTATTTTACACAAAAGTTGAGGTCTTTTATTTATCGATTGAGGCACAACGAAGTCTGACGGGTCAGCTGTATATCATAAAACTTTAAAGTAAATATATTATAAATTAGAACTACCCACTGTTAGGGATAAATGTCACGCTTTATTTGTACATTTTATTATTGTCGGCTTTTCGAATATTATTTAGTAACCGTGATCACGGACCACTAAAGAGTTTCTTTGTTGACAGTTGAAAATAATGTCAACTACCCTTTTCATGAAATAAAGGTATGCGAAATTATCGAGTGCTACTAAAAAGTCAACCAATATTCCCATGTCCCATACTAAACTTGGTGGTCCAATACTCGCTGAAAGCTCTGCAATATGTCTCAAGTGCTTAAGAATCTGATCTTGTCGAGTACTTTTTTTTTTCTTTCTCGAAAATATGCAGCACATATTTTGTTAAGTGTACAACTTTAACGACGTATCGGAGATGTCTTGTTTGTTTTCAAGGGCTTCAAAGATTAGTTTAAAAAAATATATATATTTTTCTGTTTAACTAACTGAAATTATAGCCGAAACTACTGTTACGGCTTAATTTAGTTTTTTTATGGTCATTATATATTAATGGCAACGCTTGACTGCTTTCCTGCAGAATTAGTGAGATAGGGGTACCTGTCAATGTTGCTTGTCTGTCACCAGTGTTAAACACTAATGGAACACAAAGCCGCTCGCTTATACAAACCCAAGCAAACGCTGACCTAAGTATGCAAATAAAGCTAGTTCCAAACTTGCGACCCTTACATGTTTGACGGCGATAATTCAAACTAGAACAGCCTGCGTGCCGAATGCCTTATAAGAACTCAATGTTTCTATTAAATAAAAAGCAATCTATTGTTGTGATGTTTCCTTTATCGAGGTTTTTGGTGCTGTGAGAAATGCCACTATTGTAATGTTTTTATTCTAGAATTATAAGCAATTAGTAGGTAGTTTAGCAGAAACTAGAGTGAACCAGTTTGGCTTTATCATCAACTTGTTTTCTGGCGCAGTTTCGCCTGCGTCGACTATTTTAATGTTTGCAGAAACTCAAACTTAGCAGTAGAATGCAGCCCCATATTCTTTCAGAGGCTGCGAACTCTTTTTTTTTTATTTATTGCTTAGATGGGTGGACGAGCTCACAGCCCACCTGGTGTTAAGTGGTTACTGAAGCCCATGGACATCTACAACGTAAATGCGCCACCCACCTTGAGATATAAGTTCTAAGATCTCAGCATAGTTACATATATCTCATACCATACCAAATTTTGTCGTATCAGTTCTTTTGTCTTGTAAATATACTAACAGAGCTGCTTTTGTATTATTTAATAAAATAAGCTTAGTAAATTTTATCATTGTAAAAGTAAATACAAGAAGAGTTTTTTTTTTTCTTTCAAATTAGTCGTTTGAAAAAAAATATGCGCAAATCTGTTCAATAATAGTTGTGGAAATGTGTGCGAATAAACAAACGAAAAACATATCTGAACAAGCCGGTAGGCAGCAGCTTAGCTCTGCCCCTGGCATTGCTGTAGTCCATGGGCGACGGCAACCACTCACCATCAGGTGGGCCGTATGCTCGTCTGTTTACAAGGGCAATAAAAAAAACTATTTCAATTAGTTGTTTTTAATGTATACAGAGATAACGAATTCGGCTATTTTATAGTAGGTATGT